AATTAATCAGATAGTTGTCACTATTCCCCAAAATTAATCTTTATGTAACAAGTGATCTAAGTTTCAACCAATAAATCTAATGTAATTTCACCTAACCCATTAACACATGACATCACTTAATAAATTATAATTTATGGTGTAAACAAGGAGATAGCCCTTCCTTCTATTAATCTTTCCCTCATCCACCTCAAAATTCAAATTTGAGGTTGTTAACTTAAAATTTAAAATTTTTAACCATTGACATATCATTGGATAGAAAATTTAAGGATGATAACGAACAAAAACAATGTATAAGAATTAGGCAAAAGTGTATATAGCCCTTATACTTTTTAATTTTATTAAAATCATCCCAAATAACCAATGAGGCCCACGGAAATTGAGCTTGCTGTTAGTTTTCATAGAATGATGAGATCATCGGTCAAATAAGGGCTGATTTGCCACCATGTGAAGAGTATAAGGGTTGATTTACCCTTTTTTGCCTACTTTGTCAATCATTTCTAATTACAAACTTTTCGGTTGATCACTAACCAAACAGCTAGACTTATTGATTTAAGCGAAAATGATTTAGTTCCCTTAAATAACATTGTAGCTTTGAATTTTCTGAATAAGTGATAGAGATTAATAGAGTTTTATAATAAATAAAAAGAAAGAAAAGAAGCTAACCAAACAGCTCCTAACCGTTTGAAAGTAGCGAGGGACGCCTGGCTAGGACTGACAGCTAAACCGAACTGAACCGGGAAGTTTTCTCCGCGTTAGAACTTAAAAGACAAAAGGCAAGGAGTCTCAAAATTCTCTCGAGAGCAACAGAGAGGGCAGAGACCTTCATGAATAGTCCTCTCCATCTCCATCTCCAGAATTCACAAGAAATAGTAATCCTACTTAGTTCTCTACCAATTTTCCTTCCCAATTCAATCGCATTTTCTTTCTTTTTCTCTCTTACCAAACATATGATTCTGATTCTTCTGATTCTTTACCATTCCTCATTATCTTCCCTCATCTTTTGATGCGACGATCGCATGCCCGCAGTCGGGTAAATTCCAGTTCCAATTCAAATTCTAGTTCTAAATCCACCGGCGGGAAATCGCCAAAGATGGACCAAATCAAGTTTCAGACTCGACTCAGAACGCGATCCCCCAATTTCTCCCCTCGGAACTCTAAACAAAGTAGAACGAGCACGCCATTGATCGTGGTCTCAGCTGTGGCAGTATTTTCTATCTTGCTCTGGTGTCATCTATTCGTATTCACTACAAAGGACCCCGAGAAGTATCGGATTATCATCGACGGTGGGAGTACAGGGACCAGGATTCATGTTTTTAGATACGGGGTTCAGGGAGGGAGGGCAGTGTTTGGTTTCCTGGAAGGTGGGTTAACGAGCATGAGGGTTATTCCGGGATTGTCAGCGTACGCGAGTGATCCGGAGTCGGCAGGGCTGTCCATTGTGGGGCTTCTGGAATTCGGGAAGGGTATTGTGCCAAAAAAGCTATGGGCAGAGACAGAAATAAGGTTGATGGCAACGGCTGGGTTGCGACTGCTGGATATAGGTGTGCAGGATGAAATTCTGAAATCCTGCAGACGTGTTTTGAGGGCATCTGGGTTTAAGTTCCATGACGATTGGGCGTCGGTGATTACAGGTATTTTACTGTATGACCTACTGTTCTTTGTTGTATCTTATCTATTGGTAGTTGACTTTGTTCAAGAGGAAGGTAGAGCATGTACCGTGGTTTGAGCAAATTTTTTTTACACAAAGTGGTAAAGATGGAGGTTTCAAAGGATTTTGCCATGTTTTGTCAGCTGGTGGAACTTTGATGAATAGCAGACTCAAAAGGGAGATGTGGCTTTTATGACTTTTTTTTTTTTTTTTGGTCTAGGTAAGAATTTCAACTCTATTTAGTTTAGTATCGCAAGATTTTGGAGAATATATCTGCAGTTTACAATTGTTTGATATCAAGATTGTACTGGAAAATTTTGACATCGAGGATTTTGGCCCGTAGGAAGATGTTGATGGTTTGCAGCTGGAAAATGTAAACAATAGAGATAAGTGGAAGAAGAGCCTTTCCAAATGTGCAAAGCTGTTTGTGATGAGAGCCATTTTGGAGTGAAGAATTCTAATGTAGTGTGTGACATACTATGTTGTATCTTATCTTTCTATAGTACCCTTTCCAGAGCCATTTTGGAGTGAAGAATTATAATGTAGTATGTGACTAACTTTTCTTTGTTGTATCTTATCTTTTCATAGTTGTCTTAATTTGAGAAAAAGGGGAGAATGTAGCTTGGTTTGAGTGAATTCTTACCACACAATGTAGGAGGCATGCTGCCTTCAAAGGAGTTTGTGATCAAATTCCATTTAATTTGGCATCCCAAGATTGTCAAGAATATTTCTGCAGCTTGATTGAGTTCATGATGTTATGTGGAAATGGTGTTGATGTGTGGAGGAGATTATGTTTTATTCCAAACTGGAATTGTAAGGAATGGAGAAGTGGTAGAAGAACCTTTCCAGATATGAAAAATAGTTTCTAATGAGTTTTTTTTGTTTTTTTTTTTTTTCTTTAGTATAGAATTCTAAAGTTGAGATAGAGTTAAGCCATGACTTATGTCCTAAAATAGAATTCTCAAAATGCCATGTTGGCAGAGCTACTAATCTCAATGCGATACTGCAGGATATATAAATTCGTCAATGATTATTAGCTGAACAATGCCAAAATATAAGCTATTAGTTTCTCACTTTATGTGTCAGGTTTCAATAGTGATCATAGGATTTAGGACAAGGTACTAGTAGGCAACTTCTTTCCTGAATTAGAAACTGATAGTTTACTGCCACATATAATTCATTGCATGAGTATTATCATTAGTAGAGTGGTTTGTGCTACCCCGTGCTAACAGTTACATTGGCTGCAATAGACAATTTTCTTCAGAATTATGAGATGTCTTAGTATGTACTTGGTTATTCACCTGAATTTTCTGATTCCTCTAAAAAAAATTCACCTGAATTTTCTTATAAACTGAATACGGTAAATTAGCTGAGTATAAATGCACATGTTAATAGTAACACACTCTACTACGACATATACCAGGATCTCATTGTTTCTTTTGTATTCTGCTTCTCTGTTGGTTGTCATGATACTATGAAATTTATGATATATTGGATTGAAACTGAGTATCATTCTTAGGAAGTGAATGCAGGAAGCTTAGTCCTAATCACTTCAACTATGTGTCAAAATTTCAAATTTCTTCTCCATTCTTCACATACTAAGTTTTGGATTCTATGATTACCTTAGGCTCTGATGAGGGAGTATATGCTTGGGTTGTTGCAAATTATGCACTTGGGACTCTTGGAGGTAATCCTTTGCAAACAACTGGGATTATTGAACTTGGTGGTGCTTCTGTTCAGGTTGGTTCCCCATTCATATTTTTGAATCTTTTCATTCAGTAAGATGCTTTTCATGGTATTTTTTGTGAAGGTGAATTGCATTTTGCCACTTTCACTCTATTAATCATTCACTCTATTAATTATTCAAGCTTCTGCTCAGATGGTGCCACTTACAAGATTTTGGCATTTGTATGATCTGTAAACTATTTTTTGTTGAATTGCTGGAGATTGGATGATTCATGATTGTGGTTGAATGTATATATGTTTTATCAGTGATATGATTGGACCAGAGTTTGGATATCATTTTCATTGACAGAAATATAACATCCAACAATTTGTTCGCTGCTGAATGTGTTATTTTATCTTTATTGTAATTAACCAAACTGTTAGGTAACATAATTCTAGGCCCTGTTTGGATTGGCCCTTAAGCAACAGTTGTTGCTCTCTAATCAGACAAACAAGAGTGTTTGGATTATAAGTGACAAAAACTATCTGCTGTTGGATATTGGCTATCAGCTGCATTTGAACAGCTAGTCCAAACAGAGCCCTAGATTCATCTGTTATGTAGATCAACATGTAGCTTAGCTTTTTGATTAATTTTAGGGTAAATGCACATACTCCTCATATGGTTTGTGGTGGGTGCAGTTAACCCTTCAAATTGCAACAAAGGTGTGTATCATGCGATGTGGTTTTGAAAAATGTGCACTTAACTCCAAAGCAATTAAAGATTGAGGATGATAAAGTCAAAAATGCTCTCTTTATTTTTTTGTATCTGTGGGTCTTTTTGACTTTTCACCCTTAGTATTTACTATTTAACGCTCTGGGGTTAACTGCACTTTTCTCAGACTATATGGGGGTGGAATGCACTTTTTGTGGTTTGAGGGTTAAGTGCAACTACACCTAATCACATGGGGTGAGTGCAATTTCTTCAGAATTCTGCATATGTTTGTAATCATGATGCTCATTAAGAAAGCACATAAGAAGCATGTGTGAAATCATCTTTCTAATTGGCTTGTGTGCTTGTATTACAGGTGACTTTTGTTTCTAATGAACCTATGCCTCCTGAATTTTCACACACCATTAAATTTGGGAATTCTACATACAATCTTTATAGCCATAGCTTTCTTCATTTTGGCCAGGTATTTTTCATCTGCGTCCTCTCTTTTTGTTCCTCTTATTTTTCTCTATGCTGCTGGTTATGGTTTATCTTTATATTGTTTGTCAATGTTGGTATAGTGAATAATGCTCCACCTAGACCTTCCTTTTTCTCTAACTTGAGATAGATCCTATTTTTTGTTATTCGGCATATAGTGAACAAACAAGGCTTTATGCATTTAATCGCTGGATTGAGAAAGTATGACACTTCTTAAGTTCTTTTCTTAACCTTTTTTTTAATGTGTACGTGTGTGTGGATGCGTCTTTACCATCATCACTTACTTAGTTAACTGCTGAAAAGAGGGCCAATTTTAGAAGAGTTCTTGGACCATTGAGGGTGGTAGTTTGAGAATACGGGTGGAACTTGAATTTTTGGAATCCTGGGAAAAGCTTTTTCACCGTGAAAATGAGGTGTTAGCACCATATGTTATGGTGCCAACACTTTGAGGCAGTAGTTTCAGCTATAAGCTTCATTCAAAAATGCTGACACCTTTTCATGGTACTGACTCTTTTACCAGGATGCCAAAAATTCAAGTTTTGTCCCTATTCTTCTACTTCCGGTTATCCCAGTGGTCCAAGAACTTGTCAAAAATTAGCACCTGCATCAACTGTTATGGTTGAAGTAATAATATTCTGTTCGCTGAAAAATGGGAAAAACTTTTCTGTAGTGTGAGATTAACACTTACAGATTCCTGAGATATTTATTTATATTTTTGGTATTTCTAACCTTTGTTGTTCTGCAGAATGTTGCATTTGAATCTTTGAGGGAATCTCTCATTTCAGGAGACCTTGAATTGAGTATGTATCCTTGCCTTTGCTTGTGTATATTCTTCTTCTGTTTACAATTCTCTGAATGAACTTAAAATTTGTTTATTTCATGGCTGGTTCACAATTATTCTTGCCCTCTATATGCTTGCCTATAGAATCATTTACTTATTAAGTTAATTGCTATATTTGCAGTCTAACCTACTTTGTTCACCAAAAAGGGAAAAAGATTTTCTAGAATTTGAGATACAAAAAGTGTTGTGTAGTCTAGGACTGCACCAGCCTGCTCAACACTTACCATTGAATGGGGGTGGGCCCCCTGATATTGGGGGCTGTCCCCCCATCCAATGGCCCCTGGTTGGCAGTCTGGTGCAGTCCGGACTGCAGAACAAGGAAATCTTTGAGATAAATCCCTACAGATTCCCCTGATATTTTCAGTTGTAGTTTAGTTCTTTACAATTAGAATCATTTTTGCACTTGAGTTTGTAGCACAGTTGGTAAAAGGCCTGTTCCCCGTCCAAAAGAGATGAGTTCAAATCCCCCTCCCCTAATATCAATTAATAGAAAATCATTATTGTTTCTCTCAACCCTAATATCAATTAAAAGAAAAACGTTATTGTTTCTCTCACTAGTGTCATCAGATCTGACCTTTGATATAGTTGGTTTAGCGTTTATTGCCAAATGCTCATGACTAGTGTTGCTCCTTTTTCTAAAAAAATGCAGCTGCTAATCCTCTTCAGAAAGGAATCCAAATAGATCCATGTTCACCTAAAGGTTACTTACATGGCAGGGAGTTGTGGAAGCTATCTCCAGGTTCTTTAGCTGAAAAGAGCAAATTTCTAACCACACTTCAAGCCAGGGGTAACTTTTCTGAGTGCAGATCAGCAGCTTTAATGCTATTAGAAAAGGGAAAAGGTTATAAATCTTAAAGAACAACCACAACGATAGCTTTTACCTGTGTCACTGAGTATTTATGGGTATTATATTTATTAAAATTGCAGAGAAATGCTCCCATAACCAGTGCTATTTAGGATCAGCTTTCATGCCAAAGCTTAAGGGGAATTTTTTGGCCACAGAAAATTTTTTCCATACTTCAAAGGTATTTTGATGTTTCTTTCAAAATTATATTATTCCTTAAATTTCTAGTTTTGAATGTCATTTTTGGATCCTTTTGGGAGAAATATCCAGAGGCCATAAAATGCTTGCTTGGATGCACCAATTATATGTTTTGTAAGCTATCTTCATTTGCATATTTGTCTCCTGCTTGATTAGTTCTTTGGGTTGCGGCCAAGGGCATTTCTTTCTAATCTCATCATGGCTGGACAACATTTCTGCGGAGAAGATTGGTCGAAGTTAAAGAATAAATACCATTCTGTCAATGACGAAGATCTGTTGCACTATTGTTTTTCTTCAGCATATATTGTGGCGTTACTTCATGACAGCCTTGGAATTGCTTTGGATGATGAAAGGTGCATTTCTCACTGATGTGTTTATTCCAGAATTCGGACAACCTAAGCTGGTTCAGTTCACTTCTGAAATTGTTTGTATAATGGCATCCCTACGAATTGATGTGTCCAAATCTTATATCTAGGGTCAGAGTGTCAATAGCTTAATCTGTTTTTCATATCACTTCTCTCATAAAGGGAGTTTTTTCCTGAACAGGGTTAGGTTTGCTAATCAGGTGAAAAACATACCACTTGACTGGTCCTTGGGTGCCTTCATCTTGCAAAGTACAGCTGACTTGAATGTGCAGCACCACGACCCTGACTGGATTGTAACCATCATTAGTGATGATTCGCCCACTTTGGTCTCTCTAATCGCCATCACTCTATTATTGATGTTTATAGCATGGACGATATCTAAATGGAGGAAGGCCCAGTTGAAGACAGTGTATGATCTTGAAAAAGGACGATATATAGTTACTCGTGTTGCTAGAAGATGATAGCATTGCCATTGCTGAGTATCAAAGTCTGTTCTCTTACTGTGCAGACGCGGAAGAAGAGCATGGGTCATACACGGAATGCTACCATCAATCATGCTTTGCTTCAAAGGCTTCCCTATCAATGGCCATGGGCAATCTCTGAGATAGGGTGCCGTGGAGTTTCGGCTGAGAATTCAGTATTATCTTATTAGTGGGGAGCTTTCTAGAAGGTTGTTAGATTACTAGTTTCCCATTTTGTAATTATTGAGGGCCAAAAAATGCTTTGTTGTGCCACTCTCATTTTACCCATAATAATAGGCATGGTGCGTGGAGTGAGGTTGATTAGTTTGTGGAGGTTTATACCTTCGGCCTTCACCCGTAAAATGCACGCATTGTGGGAAAATTATTCAAAGGGTGAAACCAAATTAAAAAGTGAGAGAGACCATGAGTTGACTAAGAGTGCCTTTGATATTGTTGTAAAATATCGTGATTATAACTATAGTTTTATTAAATTGAGTTATGATATAATTATGACTAAAAATTATTTTGGTATTTAGTTATTTATTTTTAAAAATAATAGATTTTGTTAATTATTAATCAGAATTTAAAAAATATTATAAAATATATAATTATTAACATAAATAATATTTATTATTTTTTAATAATTTAAGTTTTTTAGATTTGTTATAATTATTAAAATATTATAAATCATTATGTAATTAAATTATATGAAATTGGATTTTAATAGGTAATTTTATAATTATATTAAATATTAAATATTTTTTTATAAAAATCATAATCAGAAGATTTTAAAATGAGGTTTCTAAATTTATAAATAAAAATACTGAAAGTTTATTGTGATTTTTTACAATTTTTAGAAAAAACAATTTAAAAAATTATCAAACATATATATCTAAAAATATTGTATGGTTATACAAAAAATCTCCCAACCGTAATTCCAAACGCAACCTAAGTTGTAAATTTCTTTCTATTGCAAGGTATTATGGATTTTGATTTGGGTTGTGCAAGGGAAGATAAATCT